GCTTTGCATCTGAAGTAAATTGGGAATGATCTGGTAGAGACCTTGATTTTTAGAGATTTGTTCTCGATTTGCAACTCCCAGATTTCTGGGAACATCAGGGGGTGGTCCGTTTTTACTTCCAATAGGGCAGTCATCGATCCACAACGTGGTGAGAGGATTATGGAGTTGGCAAAATCCACTCGAGGATGTTGTTTGCTGTGTACCGCCGTTCCAATATGTCTACCACTAGACGATGAAATCCCAGATGAATGTTGTCGAATTGTGCCCGGAAATGCTCTTTCATGAGGGTCTGTGTTTGGACCGTCTGCTTTTTCCATTTTGTTATCATGCAAATGGAGCCATTGCAATTGCTTGACTTCATCTCTACTGCAATTTGGGAGTGATTTTCCTGATTGAAGACCAGCATGATATTATTGAGGCCCAGATTGTGCAGAGAGAAGTTGCCCCCAACCTCTTTGAGTTTCGCTTTTTTTTTATTATTTCAATGATCCATTTCCTTTTGTCTGTCATTATAAGATCTGATCCATTGCAAGCAAAGTTAAAGACTACTGCATGCCTCTCATGCAGGTCATCCAGTTCTTGGACCTTGTCGTCAGGATATTTCCATACAATTACTTTTTCTTCCTTCTCACTGTACATGACTTTCTTCGTAACGGGTACTCCTTCAACTTTCGTTTTTTTAATCAGAAATTTGAGTGTTTCGTTGTCGATGAGTTTCATCCGATCTTTGCTTGTTTGCAGGTTGCAAGGCGTGTAAACTACATTATGAACTGCCTGCTTGAAGGAGGCCGCTTCGCAGCCGACTGTTGGAAAGACCATTTTGCTGTCCCAGAGACCACAGGGCTAAAATGCCCTATGTTTTGTCGAGGAGAAGTGTGGGGGGTAGAACGTGGGTTTGGGCCGATGCGGGAACTTGAGGAGGATTGTGGAGATCACTAGTGCGGTTAACGGGCTGGAGGAGGAAGAGGGGACGAGGAGGCTAGAGAGGATGGGGGAGGTGGGGTCATAAAGAAGTAGTGAGTTTTTTTTTTTTTTTCAGACTTTGGGAGCCAAGAGGCGCTGTCGGATTCGCTGCCAAACCTGTGTGTCGCTGGGAGAGTTCAGGGGTGGGGGGTGACGGGGGCGATCTGGTTAGAGACGATACGAGGAGGTACGGCCGAAGTGTGGGGGTATGGGGAGGGATGGGGGGGTGAGGGATGGGCTTGGATATATGGGCGGGGGAAGTTTAAGGGGGGTAACGGACCAGTATCTGTCTCTTATACACATCTAGATGTGTATAAGAGACAGGGCTTGGAATATATGGGCGGGGGAAGTTTAAGGGGGGTAACGGACCAGTATGTTGGAGTAAGGTGGAGAAGGTGTCGGAGGTGTGGGGGTGGGTTAAGGCGGGGGGGGGCTAGGAGCGCGGTGGTGTGGTAGCCGAGGAGATAAATAAGAGGAAAATGCTATGTGGCGCGAGGTCAGGATTGGAATGTAGGACTGGCGGGGAGAGAGGGAGAGTAGAAAAGTAAGAAAAAAAAGAAAAGGCAGGTAGAGAGGGAGAGTGGAAAAGTTGGGGAAACAAAGGCGGGGAGAGAGGTACAGTAGAAAAGTAAAAAAAAAAAAAAAAGGCAGGGAGAGAGGAAATGGCGTGACAAACAATAGATAGTATGAGGGAGGGGTGGGGAATAGGGATGGGAAAAAAGGCTGGGTGAGAGCCGAGGAGATAAAAGGGAGAGTCGAGGTCGGGATTGGAATGTAGGCCAGAAAGGTGGAATGGCGGGGAGAGGAGGAGAGTGGAGAAGTTAAAAGGGGGCAATGCAGGGATAATCGGGAATACGTTGTGATAAGGGGGAGGGGTGGAATGGGGTAGGCGAACGTCAACCGAGAAGCCACTGGGAGTGGGAGGGAGGGAGGGAGAGAGTATGATTGGGGGAGCGGCTGGGGGAACGGTCATCGGGAGGAGAGTATGCATTATGCGGTTAGAGTGTGCGCCAAAGTTGGGAGGGCGCGGTAGGATGGGTATGATGGGCGGGAAGTGAGAAGGCCAATCTGGAGAAAAAAACAAAAAATGGATGAACATGGAATTCGCAACTGAGGAGGTCAAGTAGTTAGTGGAGAGGGAGCCAGGAAGGTTTTGGGAGATAGGAGAAGGGGAGTGGTAAGAATTGATCTCACTCAATGCTTGGTCTTTCATGGGAAGGTCGTTGCTTTGGCCTATCGATGAGTTATCAACAGTCTCCACAAATGCCTTGTTTAGTAGTCGCTTTTAGACAAACATGAGAGACGATGCGACAAAATGAACAGTGTGTAGCCGTCTGAGTGTTCCTTGGTTGGGGAGCTCCTGTAACCTAAGCTCGGCTGTGTACACCCCCCCTTCCCTAGGATCGCAGCAAGATACCTAGTGACCAAAACCGTGGTCTTTCTTTCGTCGTCATACTCTTCTCCGCTTGTGATGATGGCCTAGGGGCGCGCGAGCGGGCTTCTTTGTCGTGGTCGTTGAAACGGTATTCACCAGTTCGCAGTAGCTGATGCAGATCCCAGGGCTCGATCCCTAGATCCCCCCCCCCTTACCTCTGTACAGTACCTGTGTCAACCCGTAGAGTTGAACCTGCGACCTGTAGGATCGCCAGTGGTAAGTGGGACGTCGTAGGTTAGAGGGTATAGGGGATTCAAACTATAGACCTGTCTGGTAGGAGTCTAGACAGTCCAGAGGTCGTAGCTGTAGACTTTCCGAAAGGTCAAAGTCGTAGCTGCTACTTACCTGAAAGGGCAGAGTTGTAGCTGCTACAGTACCGAAAGGCCAAGTAGATGGTTCTAGAAGTGGCCTTTCGGAGTCAGCCCCAGTTTAGGCAGAGGCAAGTGGGCAAGTGGTGGAAGTCCACCACGCAGAGTCAGCAGTCCCAGTCTAGTCAGTCCGGTCCAGTCAAGCAAGTACCGTCTGGGACTGTGTGCACCGTGGGCCAGGGAAACAGGGCAGACCAACGAGTCACCGAAGTATAAATCAAGAGGCCGCGCACAACCATTCATTCATTCCTGCGGAAGCCATGCGGAAGCGCTGCCTCAGCGTCTTGTGCGAGGAGGTCTGCAGTGTGCCCGAAGTCGAAGTGGGCCGGAAGAGCGTAGCATAGCGATAGCGTAGAGGCAGCCATCGCTGCCATAGCTGTAGTCAGGGTGTGTGTGTGTGTGTGTGTGTTGTGTGAGTGTACAGAGTGAGGCGTGTGGGATATCCAGGGTGGTCCAGTATGTGCGAACAGTGGGTTGTTGGGCGCTGAGTCGCCATAGCCAGTGGAAGTGAACTCGTACCTGGAAGCCATATCTTTGAGTACTGTGTGGCCGCATGTCGCCAGTTTGCTGTGTTGATGTCCACGTGCATGAAAAGTGTGAATAAGACGAGTCTGATTGCATTGGTATCGGAGCTGGTACCCGCTATTCCATGCGCGCCGTCGTGTGCAGGGTTGAGGCGCCATAGCAGAGGTGGCCGCTGAGGGAGATAGTCCGCCATAGCGGACC